GCAGGCTTCTGCCCAGGCCTCTGACCTGGACCTGGTGTCGCTAGGCAGTTCATTCAGATACAGGCAGGGGATGCTCTGAAGTCTGTAGGGCCGGTTTTACAGCACTGCCCTCGTCAGGCTCTTTCTCTGATACAGGACTGCCTACCTTCCCTTAGTCTATTCATTTTTAAAATTTTATTTTTGGCTACCCTGGGTCTTCCATGCTGCATGCGGGCTTTCTCTAGTTGCAGCAAGCGGGGGCTACTCTCTAGCTGCAGTGTGAGGACTTCTCCTTATGGTGGCTTCTCTTGTTGTGGAGCACAGGCTCTAGACCCAGGGGCTTCAGTAGCTGGCGACTTGCAGGCTCTCGGGTGCAGCCTCGGTAGTCGTGGCCCACGGGCTTAGCTGCCCCACAGCATGTGGGATTTTCCAGAATCAGGGATCAAACCCGTGTCCCCTGCATTGACAGGTGGATTTTTATCCACTCTACTACCAGGGAAGCCCCCCATTCATTTTTAAACTTGGTTCTCTGTGCTTCCTGTGGATCCCTTGAGTTCTAATAAATTCCTTTTCTTCTTAGTTTGTCCATAGTATGTTTCTCTTTGCAACCAAGAACCCTGATGGGCACAAGCTCCTAACAGCCTAGGCAGAAAATGTCAGGTTTCCCAAATGTGGGAATTTTATGCTAATACCTGAAGGATGAATAAGATAGATGCAGGGGCACAAAGAGGTGGGTATAGCAGTGACAGCAACATTCCAGGCAGAGGAAACAGCCTGTGCAAAGGATGAGAAAGAAAATGAAGAGAATGCAAAAGGGGGCCAAAGGATGACTTGGAGCCTTGATTATTAGAAAATCTGAATTTTATTCTGAGGAAAACTAGGAGCTACTGAAGGGCAGAGGAAGGATCACTTTTACCAAAAGGCTGCTCTGAGGATAATGGACTAGAAAGAGCAAGATGAAGGGCAGGGAGACCATGTAGAAGCCTCTTGCAGCACTTCACCCATGAGATGATGGTGCTTGGACAAGGGTGGTGCAGTGAAGAAACAGGAAGTAAACGACTTCAAGAGCTGTAATGAAAGATGGGCACGTGGTGGGTGATTGGTCAAAACGAAGAAGGGGATAAAAAATGACTCAGGTTTTTGGCTTGGATGGGGCATCACTGAGAGCCAGGAGAGAAGGAATTGTTCGTTTGAGGGAAAGTTTAGCGATGCTGTCTGAAGTGCTTGTGGTACACTCAGATAAAATGTCCAGAAGCTGGTCTGATGTTCTGGAAAGAGGTTTGGACTGAAGATACAGGCGTCGTCAGCACATAGGTGGTAATCGGAGCTACTGGGGTGAGTTGGCAGTGTTCAGAGTGGAAAGCAGACCAGCAACACCGATGAAAAAGGCTACAGAACAGCGCCTTTAAAGGAGACCAAGGAAAAGCCTGAGAGGAAGGTGATAGGAAAGAGAGCAGTCAACTGCTGAATGTTTTTGATGTCAAATAGGAAGACTGGGAAATGCCCATTGGACTGATCAGGTGACTGCACGCTCAGGCGGGAAGCAGTTCTCATGTCGTAGAAAAGCTGCTGAGGTCATTCACATGTACACTGAAGGACTGCTCTGTGAGGTCCCCTGCGTGTGACTTCCACGTAACCACCTTACTTAGATCTGATGGCAACACTTAAGCATTAGTCTCATTTTCAACAGAAATCAAGATCCAAGTACTTTGCCTAGCCACATTGCTAGTGATAGGAACAACCCTAGATCTAGAACTCCATCCAGGCTGTGTTCTTTCCATTCCTCTCTCTGTGTCCAGATCCTGCCTATGTAGGATAATTGGTGATTTTGTTCAACAAATGCTGAGATGCCTATGTGTGCTAAGGGTTAGTCGCTCAGTCCTGCCCTTTGCGACCCCATGGACTGCAGCCCACCAGGCTTCTCTGTCCATGTGATTTTCCAGGCAAGAATGCTGGAGTGTGTTGCCATTTCCTTCTCCAGGTGATCTTCCCAACCCAGGGATCCAACCTGGGACTCCTGCACTGCAAGATTCTTTACCGACTGAGCTACAAAGGAAGCCCTATGTGTGCTAGGCACTAATAAATTCTGGGGATACAACAGTGAGCCAGTCAAAAATGCCATGCTCTTCACATTCTGGAGATAGTCAATTGCAAATAAGCATATCACAAAACAATGGGAGACACCTACAGCAGGGAAGAGAGGAAAGGCATGCCCAAGATTATACTGAAGATAAGACAGTGTGAACCCTGTAAAGTGATAAAATTTGAGCCAAGACCTGACAGAAGAAAGCCATCACCCAGGTATCCACAGGGTAGCAGGAACAGAAAACCTGTGGGGCTTGGCGCAGCCAGGGAACCTCAAGGAGGCAGGGTAGTGGGAACAGAATGAGCAAGTCAGTGGCAGAAAACTAGATCAGAGAAATATGGTGTGGGTAGCGGCAGGAGGGGACACTAAATCAGACATAGGGCTGTGTAGAACAATTTTAAATACTGATTTGAAATTCTAGGTGGGAAGTCACTTTGGTAGATTTTGTACTAAGCGGTATTTGTTTTTTCTTGAGAACATTCCTCATCCTCTGGCTACTGCTGAAGAGACTGAAAGGAGAGTGAAAGCAGAGAATCCAGTTAAGGCTGGCACGGTATCCAGGTGAGAAATGAGAGCCACAGTGGAAGAGGTGTTACTAAATTTCTAATGTTTTGAAAGGAAAAGCAACAAGATTTGATAATTGGATATTGGGTTTGACATCAGGCACTTGTCATTAGAGATTAAGAACGAACAGAGCAAGAAGGAAGACATGTTCTCAAGTTTCAAGAAATTGTTAAGTGCTGCTTATGGGATAATGAATATCTACTAGTTAATAGCTCTGGAGTTACTGGTGATCTCAACAAAGTTCTGGTGTAGGAATGAAGTGCAGCCTGTTAGCCAACAGGAAGAAAAGGAATCGACAAAATGAAGACAACCTGTCTTGCTGTATATAAAGAACACCAAAGTTGAGTATGATGTGGAATCTTAGACATTTAACTATTACATATAACTATTTGTACACTGATACCAAAGCACTGTCCTTGACACAAGAAACATGCAAATATTGATTTCCATAGTATGGCAGGTTGTAAAATGCCTTTTTTTTTGCACAAGATGGGAATATTACTCTTTAAGAGGTATTTGTTCTGAAAAGCATCAGGGTGGGGAGGTATGAAAGTACCCTCTGACAAACTAATGCACACCAGGTTTAACTCTGGGACTTCTTTCGGCTCAATTCCCTAGCTGAATTGGAAGCATTCTGGTTGTAAATGAAGCCAAGACTCACTGAATACTTTGCTAAGTTTCCCTCTTGGGGAGGCTTGAGTACAGGTGCCAGGAATGCCAATTTTATCTATAGCTTAGTAAAGTCAGCTTCTTGATACTCCACTTAGTTTTAACTGGATAAAATTATCTACCAGAAACTATGTTATAAAACTTCAATCAAGCCTGCTAGAATACAGGGAAGAGCTAGCTTCAGTTAGAGTAAGGAGCCAGTTTTAATGGTTACTGTGGGGTTTCAGGGAACTTTGGGAGGGACAATCAGTGAGAATGCATTCACCATGCATTTCAGTATGACAATGAAAAGATAGCAAGTTTAAGTTTTGTTGCTGTGCATTAGTAATGTCCCTACCAATTCAGACTTCTCAGCACTGTCCTTGATTACAGTAACTATGTATTGGTTACTTCCAGTAACCTGAAATAAAGAGGAGCAACCATCTTGAATTTCCTAATCAAAATTATGCATATGTATTTAAAGTTCCTAAGTAAAGCCCTAGCTCAAAATAAAAGCTGTCACTTTTCATATATTTGTATGTACTACTTCAAAGTCTAGTCAAAGCTATGGTTTTTCCAGTAGTCACGTATGGATGTGAGTTGGGACTATAAAGAAAGCTGAGTGATGAAGCATCGATGCTTTTGAACTGTGGTGTTGGAGAAAAAGGAAATCAGTGCTGAATATTCATCAGAAGGACTGATGCTAAAGCCGAAACTCCCAATACTTTGGCCACCTGATGCAAAGTAACTCCTTGGAAAAGACACTGATGCTAGGGAAGACTGAAGGCAGGAGAAGGGGATGACAGGATGAGATGGCTGGATGGCATCACCGATGGACATGAGTTTGAGCAAGCTCTGGTAGTTGGTGGACAGGGACGCCTGGCATGCTGCAGTCCACAGGGTCACAGAGTTGGGCATGACTGAGCAACTAAACTGAACTAAAAAGTCACACAACTACATCAAGTATCACAATGTTTATTGATAGATACAAGTATATAAAATCAGGGCATGAACATGACTTGATAAATTAAGTAGACTTAATTTCAATACTATAATAAGAGGGACCAATTCAAATTCTCACCATTTGTTTCACACCCACAAAGACCACTTCAAGGGCATTTACGATCTCTCAAAACTGATCAGTTTTGTGCAAGTAAACCATGTTTCTTTTAAAAAGACTTGTGCACTTGCCCAGGCTCAAGGATATTAAAATCTAGCACATAAAGCCCATTACTAGAGGTAGAAATACAGGCAATATACTATTACGGCAACAACCATCAATTACAGTTAAGAATTTTTCTGTAACAACCAAATGGATAATCAAATATTGCAACAACTCAAGTATTACTGAGCAAAGTGCATTTCTACAGTATTCAGTGTTGCTATTCAGTTTTCTAACTTAAAACAGCCTATGATAACTGGCAGCAAAGAAGGTCCTTGCAATAGACTGCCTCTGCTTGAGAACTTATGATGTAATTATTGCATGCTGCTAATATACTATCTAAACATTAAAGATACTCCTAAAATATTTGATGGTAGACTATGATTAAGACATTACACTACAAAAAAACCTTATGCAGAAGAAAATCCTAACTGACGTGCTTCTGCTTTTAAATATTGTGAAAACATTACAGCGGAATGAATTTTCGCAGTGGTTAGGTCAAATGCAGTTACATCATAGCAACAGTATGTTTTGCACAATTTAAGGCTTTGGCTGGTTCTTTTAGTCAGCTTCTTCCTCTGATTCTTCTTCTTCAGCAGTTTCTAGCCAGGTTAGCCACTGATTCACCTATAATTTGTAATTTAAAAAAGTAGTATTTAGAAAATACAGAATAGCAGTATTCCCAATCAATTGCCCCAAGAACAAAAGTTTCAGACAGTACCACACATCTTATAATTGCAAGCAGTGTTCAGAACCTAACATACAAGCAAGCTGTTTGGGGCTTCCCTGTTGGCTTAGGGGTAAAGAATTGCCTGTCAATGTATAAGCAGATTTGATCCCTGGGTAGAGAAGATCTATCTCCTGGGGAAGAAAATGGCAACCCGCTTCAGTAATCCTGCCTGGAGAATTCCATGGCCAGAGGAGTCTGGTGGGCTACATATAGTCCATGGGGTCACAAAGAGTCAGACACAACTGAGCGATAAACAATTAACACAAGCTGTTTATGGCTAGTTTACTTGGGTGTCAATTCTCTGATACCACTCCCATCACACTTCAGAACTGTTTTAATATGGGACAGTGGCTCATCCCAAACTTAAATGTTAGCAATGTTGGGGAGCAAGAAGGGGGACAAAAAAGATTCCCAAAAGAGTAATTTCTAGTCCCACCCACAACTTTAGGACCAGATTCCCCAAGGACAAGACTAAGGACAAACGCTGTGACGGTGATCCTTCTGAAGCTAGCTTAAGAACCTCAGGAGTAAAGACTACTACAGACTAGCATTTCTCAAAGCCTGGCCCCTGGGAAAAGGAGTACGAGAATCTCCCGAGTTGTACACCACACACAGACCTAAGTCAGAATGTCTACAATCAGACCTGAAACTTCCTTTGAAAATTACTTTCCAGGTGACTGATGTATGCTGTGGAATCCCGACATTAAAAATTTTCCTCAGGGTTAGAATTCACTTTGTAACTTAGAAAATCATGGTATGCAATATTACCAGGGTTGTTTTGCTTATATTTCACTTTAAAAGTTTCATTAAACTAATACCAAGTAAAATGGAAAAAGCACAACAAATTTCTCTATTACCTGGAACAAAGCCTTGCCTTTCCCTGGAAACTCTTGGGTTATATCTTCTTTCCAAGCCAAGAAAGCTTCTTCTTCAATAATTTCCATGTCATAGAAGTGAACAAAAAAGCGGAGTAACATGCCTAGAAGACAAAATGTAACCCCATTATTTAGTGTGTTTAAGAACTGCCCATCCATTTGTCGTAATTATGCTGCTAGTCCTCTCTCACCTTTTGGGAAGTTGCTGTTGTAGCAGTGCACCTGAAGAGCATAGAGGGCACTAACTTGTAGATCAACATGATCATGAAGGAATTTCTGCATTACTGGCTTGAAGGAAAGAAGCAGTTGTTTTTCCTGCTCTAACTGTTCTTTGGAAGGAGCAGAGGAAGAATCTGTTTCATCACTGGGTGGGTTTACTTCACTAGAAATGTACTGTAAGAAGCTGCACAGAAAAAAATCTTGTTACAACGTCCAAATGAAAAATTTCTAATTCAAGAAACAGATAATTCTCAACCCCTTGCCTTGTAGACTTTCTTCCTAGTAAACTAAACACAGGCTGTTTTCGATGTAGAAAAGCACAACTTTGTGATCTTACCTAGTCATTAAGATGTTCACAAATCCTTTATCTACATGAAGTTTGGGAGAGATGTTATCTTTAATCCATTTATATATGGTTTGAGGGGATGGATCCAACTTTATTTGCTTTAACAGTTCCTTCTCCAATTTGAGAAGTGGGAATAAGAAACTCAGTCCCTTTCCTTCCAAGATCTCCAACATGCGGTCCTTATTTTGATCAATTTCTGAAGAGACAAAGCCATTCCCATCATCAGGTAGTTCATTTACTCAGCTGGTCTATTAAAACTGCTTTACAAACAATTTCCCAAACGCACAAGATTTATATAAAATAATAAAAGAACTGAGCAAAGGAAACTTTGTATTTGGACCAAATGAAAATAGTTACATCATAATAACTTTTTTATAAAGGTGAAATCTATCTGTGGTAATGCTTATTATTATCCAGATGGGATAATCACACTGACCTATTATATAAATTCATTCAAAGTACTAAGGACTTTTAGATCTATTAAAAACAAAAATCCCCAGCATTCTCTTACCTGGGAGCATTTTCTGCATATTGACCTTGCTTTGTTGGAAAAGCTCTGTTAACCATTCTCGATCTTGTAATTTAGCTAATTGCTGAAGACAAAGTAAGAAGAGAGGAAAATGGGTGCCACTTTCCAGTGGTTGAGCTAGTTCTGAAATGCTCACCAGCTCCGAAATGATAGCACGAGCTGCAAACTGTGCTAAATATGATTTCACCAAGGGGATGTCAACCTCCAGTTTGGGGCACTGGTCCAATACATTCAGGAAAGCCTGAAAGGAATACAGTACATAGTCAGTTCATAGTCAATTCAAATTTGAAGAGTTCTTATAGAATCAGAAAGTGTTCTACCTGCATGAAGTTGTCACTTGTGGCTATCCCTTCCTGTTTGAGTAAACTGATCAAAGAACTTGCTTTTTCTTTATCTTCATCACTTCTATCCAGTGACAGGATGATTACTTTGCTTAACATCTCAGGAAGGAAGTGTTTAGGAGCTCTCATCTCTCTTACACCACTGACAGCTTCATTTGCATTTCCACTATTCAGATATTCAGTTACAACAGTTTCCTGAAAAGAATGAAGTCCAAATATCTTTAGTTTTCCTACCTCAAATACACTCCCATGAGCTAAATGATGAGATTATTTGAGACTTACAGTTAGTTTAAGCAGTTCTTCCTTTGATGGTGGTGGCTTTTTACTGGTCTTGGCAGGCTTTTCCTGGATAAGTGGTGGATTAGTTTTGAGACCAAGCTGAGGTGTCTAAAAGAACAGCAAAATGACTAAGTATAAACGTTTAATAACTTCTCAATCGTTAAAAAAAAAAAGGTGCTTATGAAGTTGAGAGCAAACATTAAAAAGCAGTCTTCAGACATCTTCAAGAGATACTGGAACAACTGAAAATGTCATACTACATACATCCCAATCCCATACCTGTCCCAGAGGTGGCGTTTGAGTGCGTGGTGGTTGTGCACTAGGAGGAATCATAGTTATCTGGGGCTGAAGCTTTGGCACTTGATTTTTATTCATTAGGAAAGATTGAGCAGGCCTCAAGCTAATCTAGAATCGAAAACAAAGCAAAATAGATATCCAAGTTAACAAGCAGCAAACTAACATTAATTGCAATGCTGCAACATCCTAAAGTTAATTCATCATATACAAATATGATGGAACCTATGTCAGAAATCTAAGTTAAATAACTAAAAATGTCACTGTTATAATATTTATAGGAAGAAAACTAAAGATCTGATCCAGACAAAAATACAACATGGCTGTAAATACTGTATTTATACCACAACTCTCTAAGGATTAGCATCACTAAAACATGAAAATAAAAACCAAAAAATTTAATTAAGAGCTTAAAAAACGTTTTACTTTATCCTGAGTCATTCTATTTGCAGGGAAGTCACAATCAAAATCTTGACAACCATTTTCCTTTCTCTAACTGAAGACTTGCCCTCATATCTCATAATCTTCGCTCACAGGACGCTGGACATTCAAAGAAAGAAAAAGTAGTACAGAAGAGACAGAAAGAAGGTAAAGATAAAGAATTCCAGCATTAAGTCCTCTTAATAACGCGTCTTTTTTTTATAATCATCGGGCAAGAGATTTCTGAATTGACAAACTATGGTATATAAATAACATAGGCAAATGTACCTCATCTGCATTAAGCTGTCCTTTCTTAGAAAACCGAGGTGGCATATCCTTCGACTGTCCTTGCAGCTGGGATAAGAGTCCCTGACTCTGGTTATGGTAGAGCTGGCTTAGCCCCTATTTCAGAAAGAGAAAGAAAGTCTAGATAAAAAGGGGTTCACAAATTATGGTAATCAAGTACCAAAGTGATGAGGCCAAGCCACAAGAAAGCTTAACTGCATTTGCCCAGAGAAAGTAAAAGATGAAACAGAAGAATAAAATTCTAACCTACCTGTCAAATAAACGGATGTGATTTTACTAATACTTTACTAATCTTAAGAATAATCATTTCACCCAGTTTGAAATAACTGTCACAGATATAAATTTGGTTTAGAAAAACACTTTTTAGGTCTTCTAAAACTAAAATATTTACACTTAAAAAAAAAAAAAAGCCAAAACTAATCATATGTATTCCAAAATTTAATTACTTGTTGCCTAAACATCCTTAAATGTATTCTTACCTGGCTTTTCATAAACTTGCCTCCCATCTCCCCAAACTGCGACTGTGTGGGAGGCATTATGTGTCCCCCATGGCCATTGAAGAGCTGATTTGAACGATGGCGCCCCATGGTGGGTGAAAATCTATCCTGGATAACTCCTGGACCAGTACCAATTCCGCTTCCTTAAAATACAGACAGGAAGAACTCTTTAATATTAAAACTGTTACTCCTTATTTAATGCAATCAAACCATCTTTTGTTCAAAATCACCTGGCATTTGTCCAAACATATCAGCAAGTCCTCCAAGTGGGTCCCTATCCATTTTCATCCTGGGTGGCATAAACGGTCCCTCCAGAAAGAAGTCACTTCTCATCCCTTGAGCCATAGGAGCAGGAATAAACACTCCTAGATCCTTCAGAAATAAAGTGAATAAACACTTACTTCTAGACACTATTTTAATACAAACTGAAAATTATTACAGCGGGAAAATCAGAAATACTTCTCTGGATAAGAGTGCCATTGATGTATTCTCTATAAACAACTTGTTCTCAAAAGAGAACACAAGACACCAAAAACATTAAGCTCTACTGGTAAGACAAGACAGTCTAAAAAAAAAAAAGATTTTTTTTAAAAGATGTTTTAATAAGGTTTTTGTGCTATTATAAACATAAAGCCCACTTGACGATTAAAAAGCAAAGCAAAACTTACTTTTACTGCATCTTGACGGATTTGATTGATCGTCTTTGGTCCATTGTCAAGAAAAGCTTTGCGAGGAACCCAATGGTGTTCTCGCAACTCTACGGTATCCTTTAATATAAAAAGTTTTTAATAAGTATAATTTCAATACTCCTAAACAGAGTCAACTTAACAACACACCTAAAAAAACCAGTTATTACCTGCAGCAGGAAACGAATCCTCGCCGGCAATTCCTTACTTAGCATCAAGGAGCACATTCGGGCAAAGTACTGATCCATTAAGGACTAGAAGAGAAAAATAAAAATGTATACTGTTTAAGACTTCTAGATATTATCAAAGTTAATGACTAGAGGCAATCATCTATATCACCAAAGTAAGCTGTTTGATTTTAATACAATTATGCCAAACTAGTTACACCATTTCTTTCAGCAACACACATACCTTGGCTCGTTCATGGTCTAACCTAGGTCCCACTGTCCTCATTATCTGACAGAGGCACTCCAAATCCTCTCCCATATCTTTGAGTTGGACTCTCTTCTTTTTTTCCAAAAGCTACCGAAAGAAAGAAATGTCACGTTGTTCACAAATTCTTCTTGGTTCAGATGTAGCACTTTTCCGTAAGTTTCCACTAACTCATACAATTCCTAGTGTCTAGCATACTATTCTTATTTGGTTTCTGTTCAAGAAATTTCTCCAAATTGAGCAATTTAAACCTAAGTAGGGAATCAGTTCTATCCCTATCTTGCAAACTACACTGCATACTTCCATATTTACAACATTTAAATAGCAGTTTTGCCAGATGTAAAATATTTAACTAGCACACCAAGTCTCAGATGGCAAAGTTGTAATTGACTCGTTTCTCCCAAAAATGATGTACATGGTGATTAATGAAAGCTTAAATTCACAATCATTACTTACTGTTTTGATGCACTTATGAAGGATAGATTCATGAATAAGATCAAGCTTTCCAAGTTCTCCAATGAATTTGATGTTCCCCAACATCTTGATCTTGGCAATAGCTCTCTGTTCCTCCTCCTCAGGGAGGAGGGGATTTTCACGCTTATCATAGACTAAAAAAGAGAAGAATAAAATCAACAGTCAGAATTAAGTTGAACATATACAGTACTGTGTATTAGTCACTCTGTCATGTCCTACTCTTTGCGACTGCACAGACTATAGCCTGCCAGGCTCTTCTGTCCATGGGATTCTCCAGGCAAGAATACTAGAGTGGGTTGCCATTCCCTTCTCCAGGGGATCTTCCCAGCCCAGGAATCGGACCCAGGTCTTCTGCATTGCAGCAGATCCTTTACCATCTGAGCCACCAGGGAAGCCCTACACAGTACTACTGAGTATTAAAATCTCACCATCAACATTTCTGGTTCGGTTTTCAAATTCATCTTGTAATTTGGAAATTAGGAGGCGTCTGAATGTCTGTAAGAAATAAGACATTTGTCAGGGTTTGCTAATAAAACCTTTCAAATCAACTTAAAGTAAGCAAGCACACACGACCACTTACTGTGCTTTGCTTCTGTCCTGGTTGACCCTCTGCTGCTGGGCCATCAAAGTTTGGTGCATCTTCTGCCAATCGCAGACATAGCTGAGCATACAGTGAGCTATACTTTGGCTCTTCTAGGGCTTTGTCCACAATCTACAGAACACATGCCATTAAGAAAGTTAAATATGACCACTTTGGAAAAAACCTTTCTTTATAACTTAGTACTTCCTTGCAGTCTTAAGGATCTTGAATCACACAACAAATTTCTGACAAATTCCCCATACAAATGCCTCACTGGTAACTTGGAAATAAGCACATCTCTTTTGTAAGGCTTCTTGCGTGAACTTAAGATGGGGCATGTAAAGTGCCCAGCACAGAGGCTGGAAAAATATAAGTACTTAAATGCTAGCTATTACAACAGTGTACCAAAAAAGTCTAATTACATATATTCCAAACTAGTAAAACCCTCTCCCCTTTGAGGAGTTGAAATTACCCTGAAAAATGGAATCACCATAAAACTAACTTTATTTCCAAAACACAGTATTTTTCACAAAACGAAAAACAAAGCAACCCCCAGCCTCCAAAAGCCTGATAACCCAATTAAACCAAGCACAGTATATACCATTTCAAATTGACCCCTTAAGTCTGAAACCATCAAAGGTAATTAAAAAAAAAAAAATCACCAGTGTTCAAACATACATACACTTAGCTCACACCTCAGTTTTAGAAGCAACAATGAAGTGTACAAAAACAAAAGCAAACAACAAAAAACCACTCAAAACCCAACCTGGGCTAAAGATACTTTCCACTTCCTTTCAGTTAAGCCAACATTTAACTTACCAGCAGTATGACCCCTTTAAGGATGAGTTTAGACTCTACACCCACATTGAGGAGCTCAAGGCATAGCTTGTCAAACTTCTCAGGAGTAAGCTTATTTAATATGCTACAAAAAAGGATCAGACTAGGTATCAGCAACATATAAAATTATCGAGTTAAAAAGTAGCCTTTAAATTATGCTTTTCCCCTTTCATCACTTTCCCCTTTAACATCAAGACATTTTTCTTACCCATCTAACCAAAGCAATGTTGAAATAAACCTACTTAAGACATACCTATCTAACTGGTGGGGGTTCCCAGCTACTGGACAAGAAAATCTCATTCTGAAAACCCAGATCAAGAGCCTCCCTCCTTAATATCAAGGCAAGATACAGGAGCTACACTGTTATATTCTGGCATCACTTTACACACCAGGTACAGGATATGTCAGCACAATAGGCTTCTGCATTTTAATCTAATGACCGAAAGCAACTAACTGAGCCCCAAACACTGATGTGCTGATTTTCAGCTTGAAACTGTCAACATTGGCATTCACTTAAAAGTATGAACATTGTCTTCAAGTAATATAGCATACACACAAGAGAAACAGTTAATCCAGTCTCCCCTCCTTTTAAAAGACAAAAACAGACCTAATAAACTTACCCTCTTACTTTCCTGAAGATTGCATCATGTCGTTCTTTTTCATTTGCGGAGTTGTTTGCTGCGGAGTTGTCATCTCGTCTAGTGCTTCGTGCAGGAATCCATTTCTGAGCGTTTTGCCCTGGGGTTTTCCCCAGGAACTCGCTAGTAAAAATTAAGAGAATTAAAATAAGACAACTTGAGCACAGCATCCAGTCACATATCAAGTATCATACAATCAAAAATCCTTCTAAATAGAAAAACAAGTTTAGGTTTTCTCAGCTCCCTTACAACTAAGCAAGTCTCAACCAGTGCATCAGAATAACCTGAAGAACTTGTTAAAGACGCCCAGGCCCACCCCAGTCTCTGCCCTAGTGGCTCAGGGGTAAGGCCTGATTAATTCGCATCTCTAGTAAGCTCACAGGTGATGCCAGTGATGCTGGTCCAGGATCTACATCATGAAAACCAACATTTTCTAATGTCTCATGACCATGTTACACACTTACAGATTTATTACTATAATTTCGTAGGAACGTTTGAAGAAATAACATCAGTGAAAATAATCTAAAGAGTAAGAGAATAAAAGAGCAGTTTGAGAGCCTCAACTCTTATTAGAATATGTAGCAGAAATCAAGCCCATTAAGATTAGGATTCCTGATGTCTTATTAACTATATACTGTAATGTTAGAAAGACCATTAACCTCAATCTGTTATATAAGTCACTCTTTTCACTGTTTACTATACCTGTTGCCAGCAGTCTTGGGATAGTGCTGAGGTGCACCCCTACTTCCTCCTCCGCCCGAAGAAGCACTATTTAAAAGAAAAACTTTTTTTAAAAAAAAGTACACCCCAAGTATGTTTCACTCAAAACAGATATAGGATCTCTAATTATTCTGCATTACAGTAAGTACATCACAGATGAAGACTGAACTTAGGCCCAATGGAAAACCAAGTAATTACATTTATTCTTTAGATAGCAAACAGAAAACAGTGGAAATTTAAGGGCTTTAAAGAAATGTACATGCACATTATCAATTAATCCTGCAGCACAATTAAGTCAGAACTATTTGGTGTGGTTATTCTTTCGGTCCTAATAATTGCCAAAACAAAATCTACACATACCTGAAACGAGAAGCACCCCCTTCTGCGATCGCACTCTCCACTTTGGCGGCTTGACAACGAAGAATCTTCAAAAGAATAATATCAATGGATGGGGTGGGGAGGGAAGAGGATGGGAGAAATGAAAAACCTAGAATGAGAAAGAGTACCAAAATTAGTCACCGCTAACATACAAATCTGTAAACCCTCCTTCAGTTACAATGTATTTTAGCCTGACACTGCAGTTGATTGAACTTACACTGCATTGCAGGTCTCGTAAGACTAAAATAGAACGTACTCAAAACACAAATAAACAGTAAAATTTTGTTGGTCACTTGGCAATTCACTTGTGTTCAAGGACGCAGGGAAGCGCCTACATCGGGATAGAACAATCTTTGAAAAAGCCACATTCTCCCTCCTTTGCAGCTGACTACGGAGATCAACAGTGGAAAAATCTGTTAGCAAACGCGCACACCATGTGAAAACGTTGTAACAGATTTTACTGCCTCAACGACGAGCAACACTGAGTAAGCGGTAACTGAAGACGGTTTTTTCCCCACTGTCCACCCCTTAACTGGGCGCAGAGGGCCTGAGGGGAGACGTGAGGCGCAGAGCGGCTGACCCCAGGCAGGCGGAAGACCAGGGCCACAACATGGCAGCAGGAACCTCCGCCCCATTTTCCCCTTCCTGGGAACAAAAGAGCAGTAGATTCCTCCCACCCAGGCCCGAGTTAGGGAAGTGCTTCCGACAGCGTAGCCGCCCGGGGCAAGCCTCGGGGAGGAGCGGAGGCCGCCCCCGCGGCCAGGCGCCCGGCTCTTTGTTCTTGGTCAGAAAGGCGGCCTCCTTACCACCCGCCACCGCCTCCAGCGGCCCCCTCCCACCCATAAATCCCCGAGGGACTGACAACCACCTCGCCGCTCCCTGCCCAATCGACAAAAGCTCAGAAACCCTCATTTCCCTCCCTTCTCCCGTCGCAGGCGGGGCTCGCCGGGCAGGCCCTTCGCTCCCCCAACCAAGGGCAGCCCCACCGCTCCCCGCCGGCCCCGGCTCCACACACTTCCTCCCCGCCGGAGGCCGGGCTCCGGGACTCCTCCGCTTCGGCTGGTCCCGCGCCAACGGCCGGGCCCCCCCGCGCCGGCCCGCGTCCCTCCCCGCCCCGCGCGCCGCCCGGCCACGCTCTCTCCACGTCCGAGTACACCCGCGCCTTGGCCCGTCCCGGCCCGGGCCCCGCGGAGGACGACAGCCAACAGCCACGAAGACAGCAGTAGACCACCAAGGCTGCCGACTTCCTCCTACTCCGCCAACGAAGGGAAGGGAGAACAAAGACGAGTAATTTCCAGGTGCCAGAAGCCCGGAGGAAACGCTAGAAAAGGGTCGCCCCGCCCGGCTCCGCCTGCGGCCGCCATTTTGTATCGCTCGGGAAGAAGCGGCCAGGGACGGCGGCCATTTTAGAGCGCTCCACTCGGCGGCGGCAGCGGCGGCGGTAGCTCCACTCACCTTCACCGAGAACTCAGCAGCTGCCACCGCAGCTGCCTCCTCAGGATCCGGTCGTCGGGGACGGGGAAGGGAGGGGGAAGGGGAACGGAAAACAAAAAAGGGGGAGGGAAGGGGGAGGAAGGAGTCGGAATCGGCTTGAAACAGCTCAGAAGAGTCACTGCTGCAGCCACCACCCGATACTCGCCGCCACCTCCATAGAGCTCCGACTCGCTGCTGGCGCTGAGGCGTGTCTGAAGCCGAACTTATCACTCTAGGGCAGCCGAACCCACCAGAGCCGCCCCGAATGGCTCCTTCGCCACCCAATCAGCGGCCTGGCTGCTGCCTGCCGCCAATCGGCGCAGAGCGACGGGGAGGAGCCACAGGGCCAAGCTCGGTTGCGGCGCAGCCCCGCCGCAGTGCGCAAAGCCATATTCGCGAAGGCTCTGAGACCAAGCCAGTGGCGTAAGGGGAACTGGGGACGGCCGAGATGCGGCTCGCTTGCGTAAAGTCGTAGAATCCTCTGAGTGCGTTGGTGTGGCTGCCTCGTCTTCCTCCTGTCTCTTTGTTCCCGGGGTCCGTATCCCGTGTTCGCGACATGCAGCCCTCAGCTCCTCCGCCTTGTTTTCTCACCGGGCATGTGGGAAGGAAACTCGCCCTTCCACCCGGCTCGATTCCCTTCCTTGGCGTGTGCGAGCACTGATTTTCCTGGCGCCCCCGGGAAGCCGAGATTGCCCCTCGCAGGCTGAGCCTCCCTGGAACTCGCCTGCAGTGCTAAGGCCTGGCGCCCCCGGGGCGCAGCGCCGGGAATCTTTGGTCTTCAGGTGCTCGGCTTCGCCTTTGGGTCGGGAAGCCTGAGTGTAGGGTTCAGGAGACTGGACGGTGCACCTCAGTGCGTTAAGAAAGCTTTATTCAGCTCCCTATTTATTCCATCCCCTACTGAGTGAATGAGAAAAGGATGAAAGGAAGGGGTTTATCGTCTTCGTACCTCACTGTGGAGAAAGCTTTTCCCAAAGGAATGTCCGTCCAACAGTCACGGAAGAAGACCCAGAATATACCAGAATTCTTTAGAAGTGTTTGCGGAGCGCGGGCGTCTGGAGGATTTTAATTGCCAGCTCCTGATTTGTTTTTTTAAAGCACGTTGAAGACTGTATTTTCCATTTTATATAAGGTCCACGCTTAACAAATAGGATTAGGCTTTTCAAAGGTGTCAGGCTGAACTATTTATACTTCTCAGCTAATGTTTTAAGGGAGAGGAAGGGTAAAATGTAGTGTTCCATCGTATGCGACATTTTAGCTATACAAAAATGGAGTCATATTTCCATATACTTAAACAACAACAGAAATGCCCCCGTTTTCATTTTGAATTTTGTTCTTGATACAATGTGTGATCTAAAGAGATAAACCATATATATATATTTTTTAAACATGGATAACCTTTAAAGGAAGTCCAATAAAGTCCAGGATTTTCAAGGATTCCAACATGTTTGACGTATGAAAACAGCTTTTGGGGTTGAAAGTACCTAGTCCTTAATATGATTTTCAAGAGATGTGCCTGTTTTTCTTAGGACATTTATACTAGAATATGGAAGAGTGCGGTGGGGCCCTGAACATTTGTAACATCTTTAGATCTTTGCCATGTATTACTAGGCTGATCATTCCCCCTCATATTTTTCTAAAGTTATTTTGCTATTAAGCCAATTTCACTTTAACTTTGACAACTGGATATTCCCACCCTTGGAGTTAGTTACATGTTAAAAGAAGAAAGTAAACTGTATTTTTAGAAAAGGCAAAAATTGTATTTCAAATACGAGAGTTTCCACTTTGTAATTTCAGGACCCTTTAGCTTCAAAATAACACAATATTTCAAAATAATTTCTATAGGGCTTTACAGTTTGCAAAAATGCCTTCATATATTTGATTTTTTTTTTTTTACATAACTGGGTTACATTTTTCATGACATTAATCTGATAGAATAGTGTTTAAAAACACTATACTAGGTTAGACTTCAAAGAGAATATTTACTGAACCCTAAAACCTAGATGGTCTTTTTTTAAAAAAAATATTTATTTATTCATTGGCTGTATTTGGTCTTAGTTACAGCATGTGGAATCTTTTAATTGCAGCATATGGAATCCAGTTCCCTGACCAGGGATGGAACCCCGGGCCCCCTGCCATGGGAGTACAGTCTTAGCCACTGGACCACCAGGGAAGTCACTGGATAGTCTTTTAATTGAGGAACTTGAAACTCAATAATTAAACATAAAAGAGGTTTTACTTAATCTTGTATTTAATCTTTTCTGATTGTGCTCCCCTCTGCTATGGGCTTTGAAGGATGAGCGTATGTAATGTAGAAACTGGGCTAAGAGGAGTCAAGTAGAAATATGGATAAAATGTAATCTTTCAATTACCTTTCAATAGGTGGGAGACATAGATATTCATATTTTGAAATGTTTCCATCACGTCATGGATGTATGAAAATTCAAGTCGCCTGGAGTTTAGCTTTCAGTTTATAGAAAATTGAATTTTAAATACACCCACTTCAATCTGCTAGTTTTAACACTTATATTTTATGTCAGTTTTCTAAAGATTGAGACAATCTTAGAGTCCTGACTTGTTAACTTACAGATAATTGCATTATTTTAATAATATCAAATGTTGTTTATTATTATAACACATTCTAACTTCCAAAGTGTCTGCTCTCCTCTCTGTGCTTCAGGATTCCCCAGTCATACATCTCTAGCTCAGATCTCTTACTAACTTGAATTCTGAGTTTCTAATGCCTGTTTATCAGAGACACAAACTTATAGCCATATTTAGTTTAGTGCACACAGTAATTTTAAACATTTGCATTAGTTGACATTGAAATTTTATGAGATTTTCCATACAAATCTAGATTTTGCATCTTTTCATGAAAAAAATCTTAAAATATGGCAATACTGGCCTGAAATTCCACCACAGTGAAACTGACTTGATTCACTCAGAGGCCAGGTTGCGCAGTGGTAAAGAATCTGCCTGCCAATGCAGGAGACACAAGAGATTCTGGTTTGATCCTTGGGTTGGGAAGATCCCTTGACATAGAAGACCCTCTGGAGTAGAAAATGACAACCCACTCCAGTATTCTTGTCTGGGAAATTCCATGGACAGAGGAGCCTGGCAGGGTACAGTACAACTGAGCATGCATTCATGGCCTCTATAGCCAGTTTTCTTTTTTGTTATTTGCTCAAATTCAACAGACTTGGTATTAACTGATCATCTGCCTATTATAAGGAAAAGGAATAGATCACTTAGTTAAAATATCTTCTCTGCCACTTACTGTGTAACTTTGGGCAAATTTAACTGCTCTCTCAGTTTCTGAATCCAGAAAGTGGGAATAACTGCATTTACAGAGTTGTAAAGATTAAATAAGATAATGTATGTAAAGCATATAACATAGTCCTTGATGTAGTAATTACATAATGTCAGTTACCAAACTATTGATAATATTGATTATCCAACTATTTCATAACTAAATTTTAGTTTTGCTACGGATTCCACTGTTCTTCTATACTAGAAACTTGACTCTACATTTTCTCTTTCCCTTTGATCAGGTATGACATTACTAAGTCCTGTGTTACTTCCCTCTAAATAATTTTCCTACATTCATCTTCTTTCCTACAGTGTTACTGCATGCATGCTAAGGTTTGCCTTAGCAATTGTTCCTCATGAGTGATTGAAAAATTCCAGTTGTTCTCCTAAGAATCTTTTCCCTCTTAGCTGTGTGCTCATATTGGTCACTCTTAAAACACACCCCCCCCAGCCCACAACACAATGTATTATTATCATTCGTAAAAGAATTTTAGTGCTTCACTATTTTCTGCATCAGTTTGATCTCAACCTTGGCTGCACAGTACAGTCTCCTGGGGGAATATTTTAAAACACTTCAAGTCCAGGCTGCATCCAAGACTAGACATACCAAATCTCTCAGAGTTGGATCCAGACATCAACAGCTTTTAAAGCTCTTTAAGTAACCAGTGTGCAGTCAAGGTTTGAGAAACACCATAGCAGGTCATAGTATTATAGAAAATGAAAACATGTACAGCTGAAGAAAACCATTGTTGTGTCCAACAACACAACAAGAGTTGTGTCCAACTCTTTGCAACCCCACATCAGGCTTCCCTGTCCTTTACCATCTCCCAGGGTTTGCTCAAATTTATGTCCCTTCAGGAGGTGATGCCATCAAACTATCTCGTCCTCTGTCATTCCCTTCTCTTCCCGCCTTCAGTCTTTCCCAGCATCAGGGTCTCTTCCAATGAGTCAGCTCTTTGCATCAGGTGGCCAAAGTACTAGAGCTTCAGCTTTAGCATCAGTCCCTCCAATGAATATTCATGGTTGGTGCTTCTCCAGCACCACAGTCAAAAGCATCAATTCTTTGGCACTCAGCCTTCTTTATGGTCCAACTGTCACATCTATACATGACTACTGGAAAGACCATAGCTTTCACTATATGGACCTATGTTGGCAAAGTAATGTCTCTGCTTTTTATTTTTTATTTTTTAATTTTTTTTTTGTCTCTGCTTTTTAATATGCTGTCTAGGTTTGTCATAGCTTTTCTTCCAAGGAGCAAGCGTCTTTTTTCATGGCTGCATGAAATTAAAGAAAACCCTAGGAAAAGGAAACTGGGTTTTAGAAATAATAAAGGACTTTGCCCAAGTAGGGAAATAGGCATTAAAACTGAGGGATCCCAGTTCATATGCCTTTGCCTGGCTTTCAAACCCTTCATATGTGGGCCCTGTCCTACCTCTTCTGATGGCCTTTTCACCACTCCGACACTCAGTCGTCTCTCACAGAGCCAGTTCGGCTGGTATTGCTGCCTCCAAAAATTCATTCCCACTAGTGCTCCATTGGTTGTAACTTTGAGGCCATTCTTATTTATCCCCCTTACTATTTCATTTCTGAAATATACAAATATTTAAGAACCCTGCTCAAAAAACCACAGTAGGTTTCCCCTAAGTTAGCATCAGGACCCCTTTGTTTGGCCTAAATTCCTTTTGTAATCTGGTTTCAGACTACTTCCCTGTTTCTGGACATATCCTTCCTCCATTTTTCATTATTCATAATCTAGTTCTATGGTACTCAAATTTTGCTCCGTTATAACACCCATGTTCTGTATTTTATGACCAAATTTGAGTGGTCTTTTTCTACTTGGCAGAAAAAATTAACACTAATAAATTAATCTATTAATGGCTAGGCAAGGAGCTTGGGCTTAAATCTCTGTTTTCAAAGAGCTCACAATTTAGACAAAGAAAAGATACATACCCCCCCAAATACATGTAAGAGCAGGAAAGGATCAAATCAATGCTAAACTGAACAACCAGGATAAAACGTGAGATTTTGTAAAGGGAATAATGGGGAATGAAGCTGAGGCCATCCTTTCTTGAAAGCTAGAATGATGTTTTGGGACTAACTACACGGGCAAAGAAAGTTCTTGTGATCACGTTAGTTTTGGTTTAAACTGATCAATTTTAACTGACCAGGGTGCTGTTTTAGGGAAATTAACATTGTGGCTTATGGAAATCAACTGAAAGGCACCTGGAGATAGAGAGATCAGTTAGAAGGCTCTATACTGTGTATTATTTTTATGGGGCATATTTTCATCTCCCTCCCAAAACTGTAAGGCCCTTGAAATGGGGAACACTTCACTTGTATTTCCAATAGAGTTCTTTGCACACAGCAGGAGCTGAGAAAATGTTTGTGCATATTATCTTTTTCACACTTATTTGTTCCTTCTCCTCCCGGCTTTCATGGCTTTACACGTTCCCGGATTTCCTCCCGTCTCACTGGCGCCTCACAAATTGAGCTGTCTCTGTTGGCTTCTCCTCCCTGCTTGACCTCTAAACATTAAAGTATCAGAGGCTTTATTCTGGGCCTTCTCTTCCCTCTGTTTGCGTGCGTGTGTGCTCAGTCACTTCAGTTGCATCCGACACTTTAGCCTGCCAGGCTCCTCTGTCCATGGGATTCTCTAGGCAAGAATACTGTAGTGGGATTGCTATGCCCTCCTCCAGAGGATCTTCCCAACCCAGGCGTCGAACCGGCGTCTCTTCCATCTCCTGCATTGGCAGACTAGTGCCAGGGATGCCCCTTCCCTCTAAGTACTTTCCCTCTTAAGTAGTTTATCTGTCCTATGACTGTAAATACCATTTACATGATGATGGCTTCCAAATTCACATCTCCATCTCTGATTCACCCCTCCCCCCATGCAAGCTACAGATATGTATCAAATTGGCTACTGAAATTTCCCCATGGATATATATATAATAGGCACTTCGAATTTAACATGTTCAGAACAGGTTTTCCTCCATTCATCACATTACTCTTATTTTTTTTTACATAGTTCTTATTACTATCTGAAATAATTTTTTGCATTCTTTCTTATATATTATCTGCTTACTGCATTAGGATGTAAGCTCAATGACAGCAGGTAACTTGTCGGTCATGTTCACTGTTACATCCCTCATATACAGTGCTTAGAATAGTTCCTGGCATATAATAGCCATCAGTAAGTATTTACTGAATACAACAATATACATTCTCTCATTTGAGTCTCAGTACAAGTCATGTGGGGTTAGGTAGGGAAGTGTCATTTTCCCAATTTTACAGATAGGGAAATTGAAAGGGGTAACTTTTCCAAAATAATTGTTGGTGTGTGGTAGAATCTCATACTTTTCCAAATAGATCAAGATCCCTCCTATAGCAATATGAGTAATTATAATAGGAATAGGGATGTTCCACTTTAAAAATGACTTTTGCATGCAGTGTTTAAGGTGCTTGCATTAGTTACTTGTGGATACCATAAGAAACTGTCCCAAAGTAGGTGGCTTAAAACAACAGGACTTAATTTCTTCACAGTTCCGTAGGTCTGGAGTCCAAAACCAAGGTGTCAGTAGGGCTGTATTAATCCTATGGAGGCTCTAGAGGAGAGTCCATCTCTTGTCTCTTCCAGCTTCTGGTGGTTGTTGGCCTTCCTTGGTTTGTGGGTGCATTTCTCTGTTCTGTCTTCACACTGCCTGCTCCTCTGTGTGCATGTCACAAAACTCCCTCTGATTTTCTCTTATGAGGACACAAATGATTGCACTCAGATAATTCAGGATACACTCCTTCTCTTGAGATCCTAAACTTAATTATATCTTTAGCCATATAAGGTAATATTCACAAATTTCATGGGTTATACATAGGCATATCTTTTAGGGACTGCCATTCAGCCCACTTCAGTGCTCAAAGCATTTAGTGCAGAGCTAAATTCTTGGAATTCTGTTTCACAGGTCATTCTCTACTTGGATCATCAATTTATTCATTTCATATTTAGTGAGCATATAATGCATGCTGTGTATGGTACCAGAAATTGGGTTGTCATTATTGTTCAGTTGCTAAGGCGTGTCTGACTCTTTGCAATGCCATGAACTGGAGCATACCAGGCTTCCCTGTCCTCCACTATCTCCTGGAGTTTGCTCAAGTTCATGTCCATTGAGTTGGTGATTAAATATCAATAAACACTTGTAAGTACTTTATGCTTTGGGTAAGAAAGGGTGTCATTAATGATTATGTTGGGATACGCGGCATCAATTAGGACTATACCAGGTAAAGATGTGTGTTTGTCTTATTTATGATGCATATTGTTAGGCCAACAGAATGAAATAAACCGAGACCCTGTCTGTTAATATTTTTCCCTTTGCCACTTCTTCTCTACGTCAAAAGTCTAAACTAGTGTTTAATTTATAAAGTTCTTAAAGGGATAGATAGTAGAACGTCAGGTGCTCTTGCTGAACTTTGTCAAAATAGATAACTCTTATAACTTTGGATATTGGACTTGTAAGTTGGAAGTGGGAAGCCCATTTCAGGATAAAATTTTCTGTATTAGATGGGCCAGAGACACACCTGATCCCTAAGTAGAGGACGATGACTAATACTTTCAGTTCACTGTATTCCATAATTTTTTTGGGGGTGGGGGCGTGCCAGTGGCTTGAAGGATCTTAGTTCCCTGACTAGGGATGGAACCTGGGCCCCCTGCAGTGGAACTGTGGGGTCCTAACCACCGCACCACCAGGGAATTCCCCATAATTTACTTTAGAAAAAATAAATTTTAGAGAATGGGTAATGGTAACCTGCAAGAAAAACTACTTAAAAGTGATCAAGATTACTAGTAGTTGGGAATTCCCTGGACTCAGCGCTTTCACTGCAGTGGCCCAGGTTCAAGATCATGAAAACTGTGTGGCACGGCCAAAAGAAATTCTTAATAGCCTCTTAGATGATATAGTCTTCATGTGCAATTCTTATTATTCCTTTCTTTCCAAAGTAAAAAATCATATATGAATGCAAGTTCCTAAGAATGTTGTTATAGGGGTAATATTGCATCCACTCTAATTTTTTAAATAAGAAAATAATTTGCAAACTTTGGTACTTTATATATACTTTTTATTAGTGATGATACTTATTTACAGTACATCTTACTACTAATGCCAAAAAGTATGCTAAAACAATGCAGTTAAAAGAATCACTGTTCTTGAAAATGCAAATTATCAATTCAAAATAGATACTTCAGGGCAATAAGCCAAGTATTTAATCATATTTTGGAGGGCAATAAGTACACATGTCCAGAGCATGGGTTATATATATGGTAATTTGTAAAGTGCTAAACTTTTCACTTTAAACAATGTTTCCATTGCAGGAAAAAATGAGGACAGTGAGATTTGGAGAAGCTAACTAACTTGTGTATATCTATTTTTTAAAAAATTTTATTCCAATGGTTGTTTTTTATACTTTATCTCTGAATAGAATATAAAGTGTTCAGAATTAAGATAATTAAAACAAATAGTATTTGTTTAATGCCACTAAACCATCTACCTGAGTCTGAATAATATCATCAAAGCAGCTGTGATGATTATTTTTTTTTTTTTTTTGCTTTAACTTGCCAAGGCCACACTGCCTGGATGTTTCTGTGAAGGTGCGTTTTGGATGAGATTAACATATAAATTGGTGGACTTTGTAAAGCAGATTACTCTCTATAATGTGGGTAGGCCTCACCCAATCAGTTGAAAGTCTTACTAGAACAAAGACTGATCTCCTTGAAACAAGAAATTCTACCAGTAGACTGCAACTCTTACCTGAGTCTCAGCCTGCCAGCCTACTCCTTTAGATTTTGGACTCCTCAAGACTCACAAATTACATGAACCAGTTCCTTAAAATAAATCTCTTTCTCTCTCTTCCCTCTCCCTCTCTATAATTAGGAAACTGTTGTGGTCAGGCTGAGTTGTCCCCTTAAGAGAAGTTGAAAGTAATCTCATTCACTTACTACAATTTGGAAAGTTGATGATTAATTTAAAAAGCTGGTCAAATTTTTAAAGTGGAAGTATAGGTATGCAAGACATACTAGAATGTGAGTTTAAAGAGCCAGGGGATGAGTTACTTATGCTGTTGCTCTGAGAAATGGGATATATAACTTATAAGAACTGGAATGAAATTCTGGTTCTGGGTCATCTACTAGCTTGTTCGAAAACTTAAGCTAGTTACTTATTTTGTATATTGGAATTATTGAATTTTCCTAGAGATATGCTATATGAATACATACGTGTCTCTTTATAAATCTTATTTGAGTTTCTCTGATGAAAGAAGCATCAATAATGGTAAGTACCAAATATGAGAATGATGACAATAGTAATCATAATGATAATGTTTCAGAGTTTCGCAGCACTGCTTTTCTGAAGAGTCCAAAGCACTTTCCCATGTTAGATCACGGTATCTTTGAGCGGGCATGGTAAGTAGTTGGTAGAAGTATCACAGTTCTCCAGATTATGTAACTGAGGTACTCTGAGATCTACACCCAGGGTCTTACCCCTGAAGTGCACAGGATAGGATCTAGGAAACCAGTTTCCTGACCATGTACTTTCCCTTCTTTTAAATTTGCTTGCCTTCTATGTTC